CTTTTTTCTTTTTGCTTATGTGGTGCTGAGGAATCGAACGCAGGGCCTCATGCATGCAAGGCAAGCGCTCTACCACTGAGCCACCTTCCCAGCCCAAGACTATTTTTTTTTTAATTTTTTTTTTTTTGTCAGTCCTGGGGTTTGAACTCTGGGCCTGGGTACTGGCCTTGAGCTTTTACTCAAGGCAAGTGCTCTACCACTTGAGCCACAGTGCCACTTCTGGCTTTTTTGGAGTAGTTTATTGGAGATACGAGTCTCACACACCTTCCTGCCGTGGCTGGCTTCAAAACACGATCCTCAAATCTCAGCCTCCTGAGTAGCTAGATTACAGGCCACTGGCGCCCAGCTTAAGACTTAAATCCTAAACTATCCTAACAACATTTTAATAGGTAGTGAAAAGATATTTGAGGTTCTTGAACAGTGAAATAGCTTGAAAATCTAGTGTATCAAAAAGAAATAATGGATTTGTCTTTAGTGAAGAAATAATCTATTAGCTGCTTTAATGGAATTAAAAAAATTAATGTAATTTCAAGCATGGTAGCAATAGAAATGCCGCAAAAGAACCCTTAGGTATTTATTATGCAGGTACAAAGGCTATGAACATTTTCAGTGTTTTATTTATTTCCGTGCTTATAAGGCTTTATTTATTTATTGAGATTAGAGTGTCCCAGTATTTCTGTAGCTCAGGTCCAGCCTTGTCTTCCACTCACAATCCTGCCTCAAGTGCTTAAATTTCAGACATGTGGCAAGTCCTGTCTTGTTTTTTATTTTTTATTTTTTGGGTCCGGTCGTGGGGCCTGAACTCTGGGCCTGGGCGCTGTCCCTCAGCTCTTCAGCTCAAGGCTAGCGCTCTACCACTTGAGCCACAGCGCCACTTCCGGCTTTTTTCTTTTTGCTTATGTGGTGCTGAGGAATTGAACCCAGGGCCTTGAGCATGCAAGGCAAGCGCTCTACCACTGAGCCATCTTCCCAGCCCGTTGGTTTTTTTTTTTTTTAATAAAGTGAAATAAATGATGATGAAATTTAATCAGGTGTAAAATTTAAGTGGCTAAGGTGCAAAAACAGTTGTATAATTATAATTTAGGATAAGGGGCAGAAGAGAAGTGACAGGAATGGGTAACATGTATGTAAGAGAAAATGGACCACAACCTTTTTTTTTTCTTTTTTTTAATTTTCTTTTTTCCAGATCTGGGGCTTGAACTCTGGGACTGGGCATTATCCCTGAGCTTCTTTTGCTGAAGGTGAACGCTCTACCACTTGAGCCACATTTTTGAGTAATTTGTTAGACATAAGAGTCTCATGGACTTTATTGCCGGAGCTGACTTTGAACTGCCTTTTCTAAAAGTATTTTTATAACCATATGTGCACACACGTGCTGCATACATATGCATTGCTGTTTTTCCTCTATAGAAGTATTACTTTGTAGGGGCTGGGAAGGTGGCTTTGTAGATTGCTTGCCTTGCATGCATGAGGCCCCAGGTTCAATTCCTCAGCACCACATAAGCAGAAAAAGCTGTAAGTGGTGCTGTGGCTCAAGTGATAGAGTGCTAGCCTTGAGCTGAAGAGCTGAGGGACAGCACCCAGGCCCAGAGTTCAGGCCCCACGACTGGAAAAAAAAAAGTATTACTTTGGTTTCTTATTTGTATGTACATGCATTGTATATATTATCTATATGCATATCTATACATATGCTTGTATTTGTATGTGTGTGCTTGTTCCAGGACGTGAACTCAGTGCTTCAAACTATTACTGGGCTTTTTCTGCTTCTGGCTGGTGCTCTACTACCTGAACCAGGCCTCTTAAGTTCTAGCTTTTTGCTATAATCTCTCTCTTTTTCTTTTGCAAAGTCCTTTCCCTCTCTATCTTAAAGGATATTGATAATGTTGATAACTTCTTCAGTGGTCTGTTTCAAGTTGACTGTTTTAGATTATGAATTGGAATTTGCTCAAATAATTGTTGGTCATTAATGTAGGTATGGGATTGGAAACTTTATAGTGAATAGAACTTGTTGACTATAGGCTTTCAAGTAGTTGTCTTTTCACATATTAGTATCTTTAGGTTGTTTTGCTTCTTTTTATGGTAATCTGGGCTTTTAGAGAAGATATTCCAGTTTCCTTCCTAAAGAATATATAATTTTATTAGCTTTCAGACTTTCATTGCATTCTCAATTTTTTGTTTTTTGTGGGTTGAAATAAAAAGTTGATTTATATATGGCTTTCAATTTTTATTTTTAACATCTTAGCATTTCAATTACATTTTCATATACAATTTTTTAATAATTATGACTGATAATTGTAAGATAGTTATATAATCTCTTGAGGTTGCATACCATAGCTAAGAAGTTTCTTTTAAGAATTATTGTTGATAATGTTAAACTTTTGTAAATTATGCTATGATAGCCAGCCACAGAAGTTTTAAAAAATAATTCCAAAGCTTTTGGTATAACAGAAGCATAATTTGCATTAGTATTTATTTAGCTTCTCAGGCTTACAAATTAGGTTTGTTTAGATTTGTAAGGTCTGACATGAATTTGCTTTTAGGAAATCAGTTAAAACATCTTAAGATAATCTCTTAAATTGGTAGGTTATTTGAAATAGAAATCTTTATTCTACTTTGACATCTTGAGTACTACATCTGAAGACAAACAGACAATGATAATTCAAGCCAACTAGGAAAGTTGCAACAGTGGTTAGGAGTCTCCAAACTAACATAATGACTATGTTATCAAGAACCTAAGCATAAAGGAAAAGTTAGAATTACAAGCAATTTTTTTTTCTTATTTTTATTTTTGGGTCCGGTCGTGGGGCCTGAACTCTGGGCCTGGGTACTGTCCCTCAGCTCTTCAGCTCAAGGCTAGCACTCTACCACTTGAGCCACAGCGCCACTTCCAGCTTTTTTTTTCTGCTTATGTGGTGCTGAGGAATGAAACCCAGGGCCTTGAGCATGCAAGGCAAGCGCTCTACCACTGAGCCACCTTCCCAGCCCCTCACAAGCAATTTTTACATGTAGAAAAATTCACTTTGATCGTGGAAAACAAAGTTTTTAAATTTAAATACTACAAATACTACTGACATAAGATCCAGAAATTAGTATCTTCAATATTATTTGCCTTAAATACATATATAATGTCATTTCCTGTAATTTTAGCTGTGTGATCTTTTATCAAGTTTATCGATGTATAATAGTGTCAAACAAACTGCATCCATGTAAATGAAACAATTTGATAAGTTTAGACAGATACCTACATACCATGCAACTATCATGATGGACACTTAGAACATTTCTATCACTCTGCAATATTTCCCTGTGTTCCTTGTGCTTTTTTCTCTCCCTGGTCACTCCTGGAGCTTTCTAGTTCAAGTTAATTTAATCTAATTTTAGTTTGTCAGTCATGGGGCCTGAACTCTGGGCCTGGGCTCTTCATCTCAAGGCTAGTGCTACTACTTGAGCCACAGTGCCACTTCTGGCTTTTTCTGTTTATGTGGTACTGAGGAATCGAACCCACGGCTTCATGCATGCGAGGCAAGCACTCTACCACTGAGCCACCTTCCCACATTAATTTTATTAGACTTCTTTGATTCAGCACAATAATTTTGGATTTGTCACTATTGTGTCATATACTGGCAGAGTCTTTTTTGTGTGTGTGTGAGGGGCTGGTCTGAACCATTACTTCTTGTTTATATGTCCTACATAGCTAGGATGACAGGCATGTACCACTACCCCTAGCTATTTTTTGTTGAGATGGATATTTTTGTTGTTTTGTCCAGCTTCCTTCAGAGCATGATTTTTCAGATCTCTATTGCACCTGGCTCCTAAATTAATAATTCAATACTGATTTAAGATAGGACGATTATTATAAAAAAGAAAAGAATAAGGAATTCAAGTATCTCAGTCTACTGAACTGGCATGATATGGTACTGTTGATTGTGATAGGTAGGTGGAGAAAGGGTGTGCATGGCAGGAGCAGATTCTCATGCAGGTGTTGTGGCAAGCCACGGTTTAAAATAGAAAATGGTCAACATGGCTAAAATAGTCCTTCAGTAAGAGTAGCAAACACAGGAAAATCCTATTTAAAGCCTTTCTCAGTTACTGAAACGTGGAGCCAGAGTCAAGTAGTTCATTTGGATTTGTTGGTATTGATTGGAGGAATTTGTGAACGTCTCAAAGAATTACAAAGAATTACTGGACTTTAGTCCCATAATCCATCTTTGATGCCCTTCAACTAATGTTAATCTAAAATGAATCAATTTGAATAAAGACTCAGAATGAAACAATCTTCACAGTTATTTTCAAATAAGTTGTTACAAACTTATTTTAATCTTAAGCATTGTATTTGAATGTTTTATTAAATTAAACTAATAACCCAATTTTTGTTTCTGGTTTTTATTTTTGAAGGTACAGCAGGGGAGAACAGGAAATTCAGAGAAAGAAACAGCACTTCCATCTACAAAAGCTGAGTTTACTTCTCCTCCATCTTTGTTTAAAACTGGACTTCCACCTAGCAGGTTAGACAATTTTAACTCAATTATTGTAAGGTCATTGTCTCTTTATTTTGTATTTATGCTGTATTAAGTATAAATCCTTGTAATAAAGAATTTATACTTTTGAACTGGGCACTAGATGCTACTCAGGAGTTTGAGATCTAGGGATCATGGTTTGAAGCTGGCCTGGGCAGGAAAAGCCTATGAGGCTCTTATCTCCAATTTATCACCAGAAAACCAAAAGTGGAGCTGTTGATCAAAGTGATAAAATGCTAGCTTTGAACGAAAAGACCAGGGACATTGCCCAGGTCATGAGTTCAAGCCCCATGACTCACCAAAAATAAATTAATACTATTTTGAAAGTGTTCCATCTTAAAAAACACTCTAGATGAGCAAAAAATGAAGCACAGCGTACAGTTCTGGGTATATCTAAAGATACTTGTAATATACAGTATTATTTTGACTTTTCAAAATTTTAAAAAGAGATCACTGAGTTTCTGAGGTTCTGCAGTACAGAGTGGTTGGGAGCTTATAATCTGGAATTAAGTGTCTTTTTTTTTTTTTTTTTTTGGTCCTGTCGTGGGGCTTGAACTCTGGGCCTGGGCACTGTCCCTCAGCTCAAGGCTAGCGCTCTAACACTTGAGCCACAGCGCCACTTCCGGCTTTTTTCTTTTTGCTTATGTGGTGCTGAGGAATCAAACCCAGGGCCTCGTGCAAGCAAGGCAAGCGCTCTACCACTGAGCCACCTTCCCAGCCCTGGAATTAAGTTTCTAGGCTCTACAACTTACTAGTTGTTTGTCCTTGGGTAGATCTCCCTTGTTAGGCCTGGATTTCCTAATTTGTAAAATGTAATAATACTTGTAATCAAGACTAAAAAGCATATATGTAAGTCATGAGGTGTGCTATTGACCTTATATATCCATTGCTAAAATCTTAGATTGCTTTGTTAATGTTCAGATATTTATATGTTTGTGCAGAACTTCTAAAAATGTTTTTAGATACTTTACCCGTAGAAATACTGAATTTCTAACAATGTACTTACTGCAAAATGGCGTATTTAAGTAAATGCAATATTTAATCTAAGAACATTTTGCTTAATCTTCCAAAAAGTTTGTGTATTGTTTTCCTTTTTGAAGTATATACAAACAGAAAAGTGACTTTGAGTGTTCACAGTTTGATAGTTTTTTCACAAATTGAACATATTCCTATAAAACAGCTCATAGAAAAACAGTATGACCATTCTACTGGAAGTTTGTTATGTCCCTTTCATTTTTAAATGTTTTATTTAGGCAAAAATTCAGACTTAGTAAGAATTGCAAGAAAAGTACTAAAAACTTCTGTATGTGCACATTATTATATTTGCTATATAATTTCTAAGACATTTTTCTTTCTGAGTCATTGAATACTGTGGCTATTATTTCCCTCTATTCCTAAGTATTTTAGTATGTTTTTCTTAAGAACAGAGGCAGTTCTTTATTGCAGTTCTTTCCTTTGCTTCTTGATTCATTACATCCAACTGTTCTATCTCTTTATTTAAAAGCTACAACAGTTTTTTGGTCGTTGATTATATTTTGTGACATTGAATTTTAGGAGCACAGCTAGTTGTTTAGTTCACAATTTGTATTTACCTGCTGTCTTCTGATTAGTAGATTTAGGTGTTGCTCTTGGAACTGGAATACTATATAAATGTGTTCTTCTCAGTACATTAGCCTGGATATGCATGATACTAGTTTGTCCTGTTATTTTAATTGCAATGTGATGACCTTAATTGATTACTTATGGTAGTGTTCTGTGAGTGTCTGCATTGTGAAGTTACTGGTTTCCCCTTTCTAGTTAGTAATATGGGCACTGGACTGTTGCTCAGTGATAAAGTATTTACCTAGCACACAGAAAGCCCTCGATAGAATACTTAGCAGCACCACATAAATTTTTTTAAAAAATTGTGGGAAAATTCAGTATAAATCTTGCATTTCTCTTTCAAGTTTTCAATAGTTACAGCATCCATTAGTAATTTTTACTTTAATCTGCCATTATTATAATGAGTTTAGAAAGTAGTTATTAACACTCAACATTATTAGTTGGTATTCTGCTTTGAAAAACAACTCCTTCTCTACTTAACTATCACTAAGACTCCTTAATTTGTATTTTTGAAGGGAAGGGGTTGTTTTAGAGATAGGGTCTTGTTCTTTGAGCCCCTCGCTGGCCCAAAGTCAATTCTTTTTGCCTTAGCTCCTGAGTGATACAACATCAGGCTAGGTTCATTCTTTCCTATTTTATTCGTGAGGAAAGCTGTATATGTAGTATATATACCATTTGTAGCATTAAACATGGTAATTCAATGTTATGCTCAAATCCCTCTAAAATTAGTGGGAGTCTTTTCAAACCTGGCGTCTGTAACCCTTGACATGTCTTTATTTTGGAACATTCTTTACCGTTTAGCATTATGAAACTGTATTAATTTTTTTTCCTTTTCATTATTTCTTTTTGTTGTTGTTGGTCATGGGGCTTGAACTCTGGGTCTGGACACTGTCCTTCAGCTCTTCAGCTCAAGGCAAGCGCTCTACCACTTGAGCCACAGTGCCACTTCCAGCATTATCAAACTGTTAAAAATTTATCCTGTACTTTCCCTGCTTTTTCCTAAAAGCTGTCAGTTTGTTTTTTTCTTTTCTTTTTCTTTCATATGTATCTCTATCTAGATAGAGATATAGATAACATATATTAATACCATGGCTTTAAACTTAGGATTTTGTGCTCTTACTTGGTTTTCTTGTTCAAGACTAGAGACATGTCAGCATGTCTCCAGTTTGGTATTTGGTGATTAATTGAAGTTGGAGTTTCACAGACCGTTTTGCTTTGGCTGGCTTTGTACCTTGATCTTCCAGGTCCCACCAGCCTCTGAGTAGTTAGGATTTAGAATTTACAGGAATGAGCCGTGGAACACCTGGCTTGATTTATCCAATTCTTGAAGATAGTCTTTCCTTTTAGCAAAAAATAATAATTAAATATCAAGACTAGGTTATTGGGTGTATTCATTGTACTTGGATATCATTTTTTCCAGGCCTTTTTAGCACTCAGCTGAGGGGGAAAAACCCACAATTTTACTATGAAATTACCATACTCTTTTGCATAATTTTACATATTGCTAATCATATGAATCTCTTTTTACATACTTTTAATATCATGTTTCTTTTACATCCAGTTAAACACTAACCTCCCCCTCTCCCCCTACACGCACCCCCCCTCCCCCATCTTTAATGCCAGTCCTGGAGCTTGATCTCAGGGCCTGGACACTGTCCCTTTTTTTCTGTTCTCCAGCTCTCCTTTTGGCTTTATGTGGTTAATTGGAGATAAAGGTCCCACAGACATTTCTGCCCTGACTGGCTTTGAACCATGGTCCTCTGATTCAGCCTCCTAAGTAGGTATTTTAAGATATGAGCTACTGGCAACCATCTCCCTTTGATTCTTAAAGACTTGAGTATAAATACTCATTTCAGTGAATACAATCCATAATAGATTCATATGTAAGTTCTATATTTAACTGTTACAAAAATAAACCATTTGGCTGGGAAGGTGGCTCAGAGGTAGAGTGCTTGCCTTGCGTGCATGAGGCCCTGGGTTTGATTCCTCAGCACTACATAAATAGAAAGCTGGAAGTGGCTCTGTGGCTCAAGTGGTAGAGCACTAGCCTTGAGCTGAAGAGCTGAGGGAAAGTATCCAGGCCCAGAGTTCAAGCCCCACGACCGACTAAAAAATAAATAAACCATTAAATGGAGTCAAGCCACCAGTGCCTAACATTTCTTTCTTGCTAGTGTATTTAAATCTGAAATAAGTTCTTGGTTCTTTTACATTCCTGTATTTTTACATAGTATGTTGAAGTGTGTGTGTGTGTGTGTGTGTGTGTGTGAGCGAGCGCGTGTGTAAATGCATTTTTTTTTGTAAGTCTCAGGGCCTGTGTTCTGTCCTTGGACTTTTTGTGCTCAAGGCTAGCACTCTACCGCTTGAGCCACAGCTCTACTTCTTGCTTTTTGATGGTTAATTGGAGATAAGAGTCTATGAACTTCTTGCTCAGTCTGGCTTTGAACCTCTATCCTCAGATCTCAGCCTCCTGAGTAGCTAGGTTTACAGGCATTAGCCATTGGTTCCTGGCAGAAGAAGGTTATTTTTAAAAATAAAGTTGATGGATGTCGATGGCTCACACCTGTAATCCTAGCTACTGAGGTGGATGAGATCTGAGGATTACGGTTCAAAGCCAGAACAGGCCATGTGAGTCTTATCTCTTAATTAACCAGCAGAAAAGGAGAAGTGGACCTGTGGCTCAAGTGCCTAGGCTCAGAGTTCAAGTCCCATGACCAACCAAAAAAAAAAAAGTAAATGTTCGTAAGGTGTATATGTTTAAATGCCACTAGTAGTCTCAGTACCATTACAAATTATGTGATTTGGAAAGAATCCTACTATAGGACCAAAGATTTTAAATAATGCATGTGAAGGAAAAAAAAAGTAAAACCAAAAGGGAGGGTTACAGACAATAATATGTAAGAAAAACAATTTATCTCAGCAGAAACAGCACCTCTTCTCAGTCTCAGACAAGTACTGCTTCGAGAAAAGCCAATTCAAGTGTTGGGAAGTGGCAGGATCGTTATGGAAGGGCCGAATCTCCTGATCTAAGGTAAGGCTTTTTAAAAAACATTGGATACTGTATTATGTTTAGATCTTCTGTATTATTTTGTCTCTTTAGTAAGATAGCAAATTGCTGATTAAATTATACCATGCTTTACCTCTCAGATTATGTTTTTTTGGGGGGATACCACTGAAAGACTTTTTCTTTTTGTCGGTCATGGGGCTTGAACTCTGGGCCTGGGCTTGTCCCTCAGCTCTTTAGCTCAAGGCGAGCGAGCACTCTTGATCCACTTGAGCCACAGCACTACTTCTGGTTTTCTGGTGGTTTATTGGAGATATGAGTCTCACGGACTTTCCTGCCCAGGCTGGCTTTGAACCGTGATCCTCAGATCTCAGCCTCCTTCGTAGTTAGGATTATAGTTAGGATTATACCAGCTTTTCTTTTTCTTTTTTCACTTTTGTGTGGCTGGAATTCAGGACCTGTGCGCTGTACCTGAGCTTTTTCACTCAAGGCTAGCACTCTATCACTTTGAGCTACTGCTCTACTTCTGGTTTGCTGGTGGTTAGTAGGAAATAAGAGTCTCATGGACTTTCCTGCCCCAAGTCTGTGAGACTCTTTTCTCCAATTAACCACCAGAAATCTGGAAGCTGTACTGTAGCTCAAGTAGTAGAGCACTGGCCTGGAGCTGAATTGCTTAGGGACAGTGCAGAGATCAAGACCCATGACGAACCAAAAAATAAAAAAAATTATTTGTAATATGTTTAAAGGTTCATTTGAGGCCAACTTTTAAATTTCTCAAAGATGAGTTAGCTTGCTGAAAGTAAACATAGTTCAAAGGAAAAGAGGTCTTATAGGCTTTAGCATTAAAAATTTCAGGTTTGAAAATGAATTTTGCTGTTTATTACATAGATTAATGACCCTATTCTGAATCCTGACTTTGACATGACTAACAAATATGCACCAAGAAAAATTGTTCTATATGTTCTATATTTGTCAAAGTGAGCATTATTTTTCTGAAGCCTTGTTGGGGAAATTTAAAAGTTTCTGTAATGTAATTCTGGTATGTGTTATAAATTATACTAGAATAATTATTACCTAGAATAATATTTCAGTTTGACTAACATTTGCTATCTGATTCAGTTCCTTAATGATGTATCTAATACTAGATTACTTAAAATTAGTTTATTTAGAAGAAAAGTCATACAGATACTTAAATTTTAACATCATGATTATTTCTGAATGTGTTGGTTCTAGCTTAATTAAAAAAATTACAATCCAAAGTAATGAGTTAAATCTTTGAATTATTAGTATTTTTTAATATATTACAAAGAATTTTAGTTTTTATTTCTACTAAATACTGCTTTTCAAACATCTGAATTGATCCATTTTTTGTTTTAGGAGATTACCTGGAGCAATTGATGTAATTGGTCAGACTATAACTATTAGTCGAGTAGAAGGAAGGAGACGTGCAAATGAAAACAGCAATATACAGGTTATAATCTCTGGGTTTCTCCTAGAGTTTTCTTTTTCCTTGTTAGAAACTTAGTAAGTAGGTTCACTAATAATTCTACCACTTACATGTCACATTTTAACTTCTATTACAATTTGTGCTACTTAGCAAAATTGGGTTTTTGTTGTTTTATGTATCTTTTCGTTCATGTAAAATTATTCATATTTTCCGACATTTAAAAAATATGATTTTAAAATCTCTTTATGATAGTTCCATTGAATAAATCATCATTTATGTATCTTCCTTTTCTGAGTAAAATAGAACTCCTTCGTTAATTTTTTTGTAGTTTTTTCCTTTTTTGTGCCTGTCCATGGGTTTAAACTCAGAGCTTGGGCACTGTCCCTAAACTTTTTTTCCCCAAGGATAGTGCTCTATCATTTGAGCAACAGCTTTAGCTTTTTGGTAGTTAATTGGACATTAGAGACTCTTCTCTGCCTATGCTAGCTTTTACCAGGATTCTCAGATCTCTGCCTGCTGAAAAGCTAGGATTATAGGTATGAACCACTGGGGCATGGCTAGAATTCATTTGTTATTAGGTGAATAGAATTCAGTAACTGACATTGCCAACTGTTTCTCTTGGCCATATTTTTTCATTATTTCTTTGTCTGGATACCTTAAAAATGTTGAAATGGTGCCCAGTAATCCTAGCTACTCAGGCTGAGGTCTGAGGATCAAGGTTCAAAGCCATCCCGGACAGGAAAGTCCATGAGACTCCAATAAACCACCAGAAAACCAGAAGTGGTGCTGTGGCTCAAGTGGTAGAGCACTAACCTTGAGCTGAAGAGCTCAGGGACAGCTCCCAGTCCGAGTTCAGGGCCCATGACTGACCAAAAAAAAAAAAAAAAGAGTCAAAATGAGCCAGTTGCTGGCAGTTAGATACCTGTAATCCTAGCTACTCAGTGGGCTGAGATCTGAGAATCATAGGTAGAAGCCAGCCCAGGCAGGAAAGTCCAAGAGACTCTTATCTTCAATAGCAGGGAGCAGAGCTTGTCTCAGGTGGTAGAATAGCCTCCAGCACAAAAGCTCAAAGACATTGCCCAGACCCAGAGTTAACCCAGAACTTGCATACTTATAACACACACATACACACAAAATCAAAATTGTTTTGACACTAATTATGTAAATGTGTTACATTAAGATGTTTTAACATTTTTATATCTTTAGGATAATTGCTTTTTCTTCTGTTACTAACGTGCCATGCTCTTAAAAAATAATTGTTCCTGAGTTTTAAGATACTGAGTAGAAACCTTATTAAAATTCACATATTGATGTATTGAAAATCTTAACACAAAGAGAAATTACATGTTTAAATGATGTGCTTTAGTCATCAAGGATTAAAGACATATAAATTAAATTTACAGCATTAATTTGATGTTTTAAACTACTTCCCAAATGTAATTGCGCATCTGAGTATCTCACGTGACTTTTAAAAGGTCCAGATTTCTAGGTGCCAATATAGGTGGTGTTATATTTCATTAGGTTGAAGGTGCTTCTGTAGGGTGCCTGTCTCTTGCCTGTTCACACAGATTTTGCACACTATTTTACTTTTACAGTATAAATCTTTGCTGTCAAAGTTTCATGGTTCACTTAAAAAGTTGACTACATGTCTTAACTGCCTGCTACTTGCAACCAATTGTTGGAAGCGTTGTAGTCTCTTACCTTGCTGCATGGTTGTGACACATTGATTGGCACAGTGAATGTTTGAATGTTGTGTTAATTTCTTAGGGCTGTATCTATATGGTTAGTGATTACATTGTTGTAACTTAAATGCTTTAACTTTGGTTGGGATAGAAATACAGTATTGATTGCATTATATTTGTAAGGTATTTGTTTCTTATTTGAAGTGTTATTATTTCTCAATACCTTTTCTTAGTGATAATGCAGTTATTTTCTTTAACCTTTGAATATGAACATTTAAAGTATGAGTGTAGGCTCATATATGCATATGTAAACATGTAACACAAAGAAATACTATCCCTAAAAACATGTATTTGAATTAAATTATTTAATTTATTACTTAGGCTAAATGAAATAATTTACTAAGATTAAGTTTAGATAACATTTACTCACCTTTCTCATTTGCTGTGCTCTAATTTTAGGTCCTTTCTGAAAGATCTGCTACTGAAGTAGACAACAATTTTAGCAAACCACCTCCATTTTTCCCTCCAGGAGCTCCTCCTACCCATCTTCCTCCGCCCCCCTTTCTTCCACCTCCTCCAACTGTCAGCACTGCTCCACCTCTGATCCCACCACCAGGTAAATAGTAAAAAAAGGTATTTGATTTTTGGAAGCAAATAACTTTTTAACAATTTTCAGTTAAAAAATTTTTTTTAGTTTAATAGTGAAAATATATTCTCAAAATATTAGGAGTAATTGCATTGAATTAAAAGTTGTAGTTATGATAATTATTTTGTCTTTAACAGATTCACAGCAAAATAGATTACACATGCCTTTCTATTTCAGCAAAACAGAGACAATATTCTACAATAAAGAATATATAGATACTAAAACTGAACAAAAAATATGGCAGTAGTCCTGAAACTAAAGTTGCTATTGGTGTATGTATAAATCCATACTGAATTGTTAGCAATATGTTAACTTGTTTTTGAAAAAAATTAAAAATACTTTTATCACATTTTTAAATTACTTTTTATTCTTAAGAAAAAATCCCCAACTTTTATTTTTATTTATACTTTAATCTTTCATTTGGTGGCTTTAAAATTTTTCCTTCTAGTAAGTTTTCAATATTTGTTCCTCTTAATGGGGTTTTTATGAAACTAACAAGATTAAGTGTATAGTTATTTCTTCCCAAGGAGAGTGTCAGTAGCAAATGATCGAAGTTAGCAGCTAGTTTTAATCCGAATTATAGGAAGAAATTAGGAATTCTGGTAGTAAAGCATTTTATTCTAAAAACCCATGTACTCTTACTCTACTTTGCGAGAGAGCCACCTTTGCTTTGTAGTGCCCATTGTGACCAGAGTACAAACCCAGATAATAGTCTTCCTATTGTGTTCTTACCTAATAAGTTCATCCTTGCTCTCTAAATGTCAGCTATTTTCTCTTCTCTTCATCCTCAACACCTTTAATTTCCTTTCATTATCAACTCAACTCCCACAAAGATGAAAATAGTGTTACAAAAACTGATTCCTGGCTTAGAAAAATCTTTTGTCTGAAAATGGAGGAAGAGTGCAATAGTTGAGGTGTGTGCCTCTGCTAGTTAACATTATTTCTCAAGTTTAATGACTTGAAACTGTTCATTTGAGTGCAGACCATTTGTAGGTTGGGATTGAACCTGGTTCTTGTGTCTTTACTATGTTCAGAATTAACCAAATGGTAGAGGACTTAATGTTCATAACCAAGACTTAAAATAATTCATAAGTGAATCCTTCTCCTCTGAAAAAAAAGATTTGGAAAATATTTTTTGATTATTTGATTAGTGAGATTAAAAATGATAAATGTGGGCTGGGAAGGTGGCTCAGTGGTAGAGCGCTTGCCTTGCATGCATGAGGCCCTGGGTTCAATTCCCCAGCACCACATAAGCAAAAAGAAAAAAGCCAGAAGTGGCGCTATGGCTCAAGTGGTAGAGTGCTAGCCTTGAGCTGAAGAGCTGAGGGGCAGTGCCCAGGCCCAGAGTTCAGGCCCCACGACCGGACCCCCCCCCCCAAAAAAAAAAAGATAAATGTTTGTGATATTAGTCCTAATTCTGAAATTCCTTATAATCTTTTTAAACTATTTTAAACCTAAAGATTTGAAAAAAGATTTCTTTTTTAAGAACTTTAAATATCTTAGTTATTTTTAATTGATAATTGTTCATGTTTATGGGATACATTATGATGTGTTATGTATTTACATTATGTAATGATTTTAAGCTAGTTAACAAGTATATCACCTCACATTCTCACCAGGTTTTGTAATGAGAATAATCCATATCAATTTTGAAATATATAGTTATTTGCTATGATTAACTGTTCTGTACATTAGATCTCTAAAACTAATTTTTCTTTCTAACAGAAATTGTGTATCACTTTGATCAAAAGGTTCCATTTCCACCCTCATACCAACCACTAGTACCTCATTTCCATTCTGCTCTCTACTTTTTAAATATTTTACATATAAGAGATATTGTAGAGTATTCCTCTATACCTGCCCTGGTTCACTTTGCAAATGACAGATTTTTCTTTCTTATTTTTCTTATTTAAGTATTAGTATGTTCAAATGGCTGATATTTTTGTGTCTATTACCAGCCATTTTTTTATGTTAAGATTGGGGAAAAGTGATGTGATTTAATGGAAAAAAAAACCAACTAGAATATTTCTGATTGTCAATGGCATTTATGTGAAAGTTTACTTTTCCAAAATGTTACGATTACTCCATGTCTTATCACCTCTTTGAGTGATGTATGAATTGCTGATGGCATTATATTGTAGTTCAATTGATTGGTTTTTTTTTTGTTGTTGTTGCTTAATGTATTTATCTTAGTGTTAAGCTCCATGATCCCTCTCTAGGTTTCCTTTGATGCTTATTCGTGAATTATGTTTTGCTGCTGCCATGTCAATATTAAAGGAAATATATTCAAATGAATTGTAATCCTGAAAATAGTACCTAACTGTGGTGTATATGGTAGGGGAGGGTGTTTTCAAAGTGATATTAAAAAAAAAATTCTAAGTTGGGACTGTCTGAAGAACTATATATTTTTGCTAACTATGAACTTTTGGAGAGAAGGAATAGTATATTTTCATGTTTTCTTATAATAGTGCTGTGTGTACTCAGCATTCCCTTAATATGTTGGCTAATTAAGTTAACTACATATTTAATGTTTTTGTAATACCAAAAATAGTTTTCAGATTATCAGGTGGTATGTTCAATCAAAACTTACATTACCTCTGAATAGCAATATGGCTTCATAGACATAATGTAGACCCTGCTAAAAACTATATATTCAGTTGTCATTTGCTACATGACTACACTGTATTCTGTAGTTTGTTGCAAATTAAATTACATTGGGAATCAAAAGCAGCTAAAAAGTGAAAGGCATGACTGAAGGGGGAGTCTTTGTCTATTGCCTTAAAAGATATTGCCTTTAATCTTTTGCTTTCTTTGTAAAAGGCACTGCCCCTGAGCTTTTCTGCTCTAGGTTAGTGCTTGTATGTATGTATTTTAGTGTGTGTGTGTGTGTGTGTGTGTGTGTGTGTGTGTGTGTGTGTGTGTGTAATTGGAGGTAAGAGTCTAAGGACTTTCCTGTCTGTGTTGGCTTTGAACCATGATCCTGAGATCTCATTCTCTTGAGTAGCTAGGATTTTAAGCCTGAGCCACCAGCGCCTGTCTTAACTGTTGGTTAAAAAAATTAATTTGCTTTATTGTTATTATAAGAGGTAATATGCAGAGGGGTTACATATACATACATCAGGTAATGAGTACATTTCCTTTAGTACAGTGTCATCTGCTCCATCTTTCTCTCCCATTCTCTCCCTTCCATCTCCACGTTTAAATTGTGTTTTTCCTTGGGTTCTCTGCCTTCCCCTCACCCTTCTACAGATATGCACATAAATATACTGTATATAATGTAAAGAATTCAGACTCATCAACAAAAGATAAAACAAATTAAGAAAAGAGACCTTTGTTTCCATTTTGTTTCCATATTGTTGGAGTTTGTTTTGGTATGTATATTATTTTATAGACATGTGAAGAGGTGCTTGGGTATTGTACAGCTTTATATAAAGGTACCTAGAATCCTGTGTAATTTGTCATATCCCAGTGCACTTTAGATCTGACTTTTGCATGTCAGAGAGAATAGTCTCCATTTGTCTCTGATCTTGGCTTACCTTGCTTAACATGATTTCTTCAAGTTCCGTCCATTTCCCTTCAAAGGACATTATTTTATTCTTTGAGCTTGCTGTGTAAAATTCCTTTGTATATAGGTATCACACTTTTTGGATCCACATATCTATTGTGGGGCATCTAGGTTATTTCCATATCTTGGCAATTATGAATAGTGCTGCAATGAACATGGATGTTTAGGTGTCCTTACCATATCCTGGTTCATGATACTCAGGGTAGATGCCTAGGAATGGTAGGGGTGGATCATAGGGAATCTATGTTTAGTTTTTTGAGGGACCTCAAACTGCTCTCCAGAGTGATTATACTAGTTTACATTCCCACCAGCAGTGAAGTAGGGTTCCTTTTTCCCCATATCCCCACTAGCATTTGTTGTTTGAATTCACAATGTTGGCCAATTCTGACTGGGGTTAGATGGAATCTCAGGGTTGTTTTGATTTGCATTTCCTTTATGGGGAGGGATGATGAACATTTCCTCATGTGTTTCTTTGCCATTCTTCTTTCTTCTTCTGAGAAGTCTCCCTTTAGCTCTCTTGCTCTTTTAGTAATTAGATATTAAGTTTGGAAGTGATTAGTTTCTTGAGCTCCTTGTATATATGGGGTATTAAGCCTTTGGCTGATGTACTGCTAGTAAAGATTGTCTCCCAGCCTGTAGGCTGTCTTTCTAGTTCACTAACAGTGTCCTTACCTGTGCAGAAACTTTTATTTTAAATGTAATCCTACTTGTCAAGTCTCTCTCCTATCTGTGCCCCCGGGACTCTCTTCAAGAAGTTCCTGTCTATACCTGTAAGTTCTAATATTTCTCCTTCTCTATCTCGAAGTAGTTTCAGAGTTTTGGTCCCTGACATTGAGGTCTTTGATCCACTTTTAATTGATGTTACTACAGGGTGATAAGCAGGGATCCACTTTTAGTGCATATGGCTCTCCAGTTTTTCCATCACCAACTGTTGAAGAGAGATGTATGTTTGGGTTGGGAATGTGGCTTAGTGGTAGAGTGCTTGCCTAGCATGCATGAAGGGTTTGATTCCTCAATACCACGTAAACAGAAAAAACCAAAAGTGGCACTGTGGCTCAAGTGATAGAGTGCTATCCTGGAGCAAAAGAAGCTCAGGGACAGTGTCCAGGCCCTGAGTTCAAGCTCTAGGACTGGCAAAAAAAAAAAAAAAAGAAAAGAAAAGAGGCTATGTTTTTTCCACTGGATATATTTGGCATATTTGTCAATAATGCCAAACAAATGGTGACTATAAGTGTATGGTTTTATTTCTGTGTCTTTTAGTCTATTTCATTGATTCTGGCCTGTGTTTGAAATCTGGTATTGTGATACTGCCTGCTTTTTTTTTTTTTTTTGCCTATAATTGCTTTGGCTACTCTAGATCTTTTGTTGTTCCATATGAATTTTTGGATTATTTTTCCGTATTTCA